TATAACCCAGAAACCAACCAGCTATGGAAGTATCCACAGTAAATAAGCCTACAAGATTGTAAACAGGCAACCAGAGACATCAATCAACAAATGAAGACAACTACAAACCAAAAAGAGGGAAAAAACTGTGTCATCACAGAACTTCTACATGGTAGGGATATCAAAACAACTACCAGATAGAACGAACTGTTCTAAACTTGAGAAGAAAACTATAAATCACAGGGTAACCTCAAAGAAAAATGATAAACCTTCACATCAAAATAAAAAAAAGAGGACCAGCACAAATATTTAGCAAATACTAAAACAGTATCAACGAAAAGAAGTGATGACACTATTCATTAACAAAATGAGCTCAGAATAGAAAATTATATGGAACAAAGAAATCAACACCACGAAAAGGCACATAACAAAAATGACAGCAACAAATTCATATTTGCCAATAATTACGTATCTGGCAAGGGACTTATACCTAAGTTAATTTATAGAAAACTCCAATGCCTCAACACCAAAGGAATTAACAATCCAACTGAAAAATGGGCAGAAGACATGATTAGAGACACTTCACCAAGGAGGATATTCAGGGGGCCAGCTAATACATGAAAAGATGCTCACAATCATTGGCCATCAGAGAGCTCCAAATCACAACAACAATGAGATACCCTCTCACTCCAGCCCTGATGGCAAGACTAAACAAGACAGAAAATAAAAAATGCTGGGGGGGATGTGGAGAGATTAGGCTTCTTATACACTGCTGGTGGGACTGTGTAGTGATAAAACCACTGTGGAAAGCAGTATGGCGATTCCTTAGAAAGCTAGAATTGGAGATACCATTTGACCCAGCAATCCCATTACTAGGTATATATCCTAGAGAGGTGAGAGCCAGGACAGGAACAGATATATGCACACTCATGTTCATCGCAGCACTATGTATAATAGCAAAAAGATGGAAACAACCTATGTGCCCATCAGCAGAAGGGTGGATGACCAAGCTATGATACATACACACAATGGAATGCTATGCAGCACTAAAGAATATAGAATCTGCAAAACATCACATAATATGAATGAACTTGGAGGACATCATGTTGAGTGAAAAAAGTCAATCACAGAAGGACAAATATAATATTAGTTCATTGTTGTGGAGGTTCAAGGAAAGGTTTATATATGGAGGTAAACTTTGTTGTTTTCCAGGGGTGGGAGGAGTGAGGAGGGAACACTGAAAAAAAAAAAATGCATTGACCCATGTCACTTCAGTTTTGTGTATTTCACTGTACATAAATTATATTTCAATAAAATGCATTTTTAAAAAATATTAAAACATAGGCCCTAAGTGCTTACGAGATGAGGTTCCTCCTAACTCTCTGGTACTATCTTCAGCCCCCTTTACCAAACTCTAAGAAGCAGGCCTTCTTTCAAACATATCAAGCTCCTTCTCTCCTTGAACAACTGTTTCCCTGCCTTCAGCAGCTTCAGAGTCCCTGGCTTGTCCTCACTTTATCAACTTCTACAGACCCAAATTTAAATGTCACCTCTTCAGGAAGTCTTTCCTGACTTCTATCCTTCCCAAGGCTAAATTAGGCCCCTTTCTATATTTTCAGAGCACTCTGATCTATTCCAATGAAGCAATTATTATACCATTCAGGTGACTGTTTAATTTCTGGTGCTTCAGTGGTCCTTAATCTCATCATTACAGTAATCATGACATCTTGGGCATCTAAGGCTAAAGAATGTCTGATTCATAATATTACCTGACATTATGTCCAGACACTATTCCAATCACTTAGATACACATTATCAATCAACTCATTTAGTCTCACAACATACCCTGAGGTAGGTTTATTGTAATACCCATCTTCTAGATGAAGAAACTATGGGAGAAAAGTATTAGATCATTTATTTGTCCAAGGTCATACAGTATGTCTTAGAGCTGGAATTTGACTTTAATATTAGACTCATATTTTTAACACTACCCTCTGTCCCTCCACATGTTGACACTCAAATATTTGAAGAATGATAGATGGATAAATAAATGAACTAGATATGGAAGCAATCCCAATCTATCGTCTGCTTCCACTGCTATTATCAGAATCTAAAATAAAAGTCTTACTTTTGTAACTAGGAGCTCTGGTGGTGTTGTGCCTAAGCCATCTGACTGCTAACCAGAAGGCTGGTGGTTCAAACCCACCAGCCACTCCTCAGAAGGAAGGCTGGGCAATCTACTTCCGTAGTGACATCGCCTCAGAAACCCAAGGAAGGGTAGCTATGAGTCAGATCCGACTTGACGGCAGTGAGAGAGAGACCTCATAACTAGATGACCCCAAGAGTCTCTCAGCAGATTCCCTAATTTCTATCACTTTTTCTCCAGGCATATATCCTAGATGACTCTCTCTAAAGTACTTTCCTTATCCTGTGAATCTGCTGCTTAATAAATAGCAATGGCCCCTGCTACTTATGAAATTAAATATACCTCCTTTACTTAGCTTTCAGGCTTCTCCCTAACAATGGCCTCTTCTACCAACAGGTCTGTTGTCTCCACTTTGTCCACCTCACCTCTAACCTCAACTACACACACTCATGTTTACATATATGAACTGTTCTTTATTCTTCTCACTCCAAATCGAATCCTATGCATCATTAAGAATCTGCTCAAGTGTCCCACAAAGCCACTGCAAACTAATACAGCCAACTCTTCTCTAAACTCATGTCACTCAATGTAGCACCCTTCAACTTCTACATGCTTTGAAAGTTGAGACTCATTATTTCTTTTCAACTGTCTAAAATTTCTAGCACATATCTGAGAACATCAAGAAAAAAAACCCATGTATGACTCAAGAAAACAATTACTCCAAGACTAATAGACCACATGAACCAAAGCTTCTAGTAGCCTGAGACCAGCAGAAATAGATGGCACCCAGCAACCATGACCTATGGCTCTGATTGGGATCACAATAGAAGGTCATGGACAAAGTGGGAGAAAAATATAAAACAAAATTCAAAATCCTAAGTACACCAGAGTTATTGGTTTGATTGAAAGTGGTACAATCCCTGACATTATGGCCCACAGACACCCTTCAAACTATCACCTGTCAGCCAGGTGGATAAGCCTATAAAATTAATAATAACACCCTGAGGAACATGCTCTTCAGAACAATCAACCATATGAAACCAAAAGAGCACCATTTCCCCAAAAATGAAGTTCAGAAGGCAGGAAAGGTAAGGAAAGAAAGGGAATGGAACCCAGGGAGGAGGTGGGAAGAGTGCCGCTACATTGAGGGTATTGTAACTAATGTCCCAAGAAAAAAAATGCACATAAATTGTTGAATGGGAAACTAATTTGCAATGTAAACTTTCACTAAATCACAATAAAATGTTAAAAAGGAAAAAAAAAGAGCCCAAAAATTACTTGTTAACTTATAAACTAAAAGGATAAAATAAGCTTATTTTTATCCCGTCCATAAGAAATTAAAAATTTATGTCCAAATGTATATATTTATATACATATATTTTCGGAGAAAGCCAGGGGAAGTAATAGTGAAAAAGACCTTTAATGAGAACAAAGGTGAAGAGGAATAGGAATAGGTGATTTGACACTTGAGAACTGCAGTAGTTCCTAAGTAGAAGGAACAGATATTCACCCAACAAACTTGGCCAGGTCTGTCACATCTAACAGTAGAATTCCCTTAAACATCCCTTATCTTCAAGAGATAGTACTTCAAGAAGATAGAATGAGACTTCCTGAATAAAACAGTCACAGAGGGCTAGAAGGATGATCAGGAATCTGCCCTATAATGAGAGTCACACTTTGCAGATCCACAGGGCTCTTTTCAGTCAAATCTGCTTCCTTGAGTGAGGAACAGGAAGAAGAAATGGAACAAATGCCTCCTTTGTCATAGATCAAAACAACATGATGGTGCCCATCTACCATCACTGAACATTTTGATCAAATATTCTATAGAAAAATCCAGACTAAAAGGGAAAAAGTGAGAACAGAATTCCAAATTCTCAGAATACAGATTTTCTGAAGTCACTAAGGCTGGATGAATCCCAAACTGCTGCCCTGAGATAATCTTTAAGCCTTAAACCAAAAATATTCTCTGAAGTCTTCTTTAAACCAATTTTTTTTTTTGTTCCTGTTGTTAGGTACCATCAAGTCAGCTCTGACTCAGTGACCCATGTATAAAAGAATGAAACAATGTCCAGTCCTGCACCATCCTCACAATTCTTGCCATGCTTGAACCCATCATCACAGCCACTATAAATCCATCTTGTTGAGGGGCTTCCCTTTTTCACTGACCCTCTAATTTTACTGAGTATGATATCCTTCTCCAGGGAATGGCCCCTTCTGGTAACATGGCCAAAGTATATGAGACAAAGTCAGGCCATTCTTGCTTCTAAGGAGCATCCTGGCTATACTTTTTCCAAGACAGATTTGTTCATTCTTCCAGCAGTCCATGGTATTTTCAGTATTCTTCACCAACACCACCATTAAAATGCAACAATTTGATCTTCCTTATTCCTTGTCCAACTTTCATATGCCAACCAAACAACAGGTTAGCTTATTTAGTAGAGGTGTACGCCTTGAACATCAAGCTCTAAAACTGACGACAGCAACTTGAAAAGTCAGAGAGGAAGCTTAGGGGGCAATGAGTTCATGTTAACAAAGGAGGAATAATTTGGAAAAAGAGCCTGAGCATGGCTGAACAACTTGAATAATGTCTATGTCACTGAATTGTACATGTAGAAATTGTTAAAGTAGTGTATGTACCATTGTGCATAAGCTCAAGAACAATAATAATGTATACCTAGTAAATAATGTAATAAAGAAAAAGAAACTGCTTCTTGTCCTAACATAAAAGGGCAAGAAAATTCTATAGCAATTAAGGAAAGAGGGGAAAAAAAATAATTCTACAAAATAGAATGAAGCAGAAGGTAGGCACTGGACCATAAACTTTCTTTCTTTTCCCCAAAGCCTATCCACAGTTAAAGTAGTTGTCACTGACCTGATCTGCATCGGCATGAACTCCAGGAGACTGTGAGGATGGCACCTCCTGCTGGACTGCAGCCACTGCCCCATTAGGCATCAGGATGAGTTGGGAGGCTAGAGGCACATTCCGGCCCAGGGTCCGGTTTACCTGCAACAGGTTTCCCAGCTGTGGCTGGCAAGGAGAGCAGGAAGAGCAGAGGAAAAGAGAGCAAGAGGAAAAGAAGACAGAAGAAATGGAAGGGAAGGACCACAAGACAAAATAAACAAGATATTAAACAGCCAAGTCCTGCCCCTTTCCACACCAACCCAGGAGTCTCTCATTCTCCGTATGTGATGGATCATCCAGAAGAAAACCTAGAATGCACAGAGAACTACAGATTGATAGCAAAGAGTCAAACATCAAAGAAGTTGAGACAAGAAAGATTTCAGATCAAGTTCTTATAAATAGTAAGTAGATGAGCTAAGAGATAACACGTAGAATTTGTGGACTTGAGCCACAGATTTAAAGGTTGGACTATACTTGACCTAATTTAGTCGAATATTAAGGCCAGCATCCTCCAGCTTAGGATCTCAATGTAATCTACAGGTTACCTGTGAATACTGAGCATCACTTCTAAGGGTACATAGGGCATGGAAAGTTGATCAGCTTGTCTCAAAACATATGGGTGAGAGTTCCGGCAAGATGGCGGACTAGGCACAAGGACTGCACAGACGCTCTTCAACAAAGAAAAGGGAAACCAATTAACACAGACACAGAAGAT